AAGCTTGCCAAAACTACCTTCACCAAACCTCAAATGTGACTGCACCTTCATATCAGGCATTACATATCAGGCAAATAACTTTGCTTAATAAAAACTAAATCTATTCTGCATGCTTTAAAAAAAAGATCAAATCAAGATCAGCTTTCACTTTAACATAATTCGGCAATTATGTACTGCATGCATCGTTGCAATACATCCAACAGGTTCTCTTTACTGCACCGTTCTGTTTCAAATGCAACGGTCCTACAGTCTAAATCTTGCAGAGTACAACCACATTAGTAGTAGTATGATGGCTTTAATAGAAGAGATTAAAGGGTTAGTTCATTGCAAAAGGATGAACACGGAAGCAGTTCCGGGGGAATGACATATGAGGTCAGCGCTGCGCATGCGCGGCTCAGAAGTGACGCACGTGGAGAGATCGAAACAAAACAACGGTCACTAATTAGAAGTACAAAACGAGGATTTGTAAAGAAGAATGTCGGAGGATTTCGATATAAGCCAAGAGGAGACTTGTTTTCCTTTGCTAAAGTAAGGAAACTTTGCTTCTTTTGATCCTGTAAACAAACGTTGGTTTTCACGAGACGCACCGGCGCATGCGCAGCACTGACCTCATACGTCATTCCCCCGGAACTGCTTCCGTGTAGGACTGTTGGCGCAAGCTACATTAAAGTGATTATTACATTTTGAATATGGATATTTTTCTTACAAAAACGCATCGATTCGCTACAGGAGGCCTTTGTTCACCCCCCGGAGCCATGTGAGACACTTTTTTTTGTGGAAGGGTGCTTTTTATTTCACGTCTTTTGAACCGAAGGAATGCAACACCCGCTGAGTACAACGATAGAGCTTGAAAGATCAAAGACCATTTTTAATATAACTCCGACTGGATTCGTCTGAAAGAAGAAAGTCATATACACCTAGGATGCTTCGGGGGTGAGTGAAACGCAGCCTAATTTTCATTTTGCGATGAACTAACCCTTTAATGACAGGCTCAAACTCACTACAACGGGCCCAAGCCACACTCAATGACAACTGGAGGCCCTATGTTTAGCCCTAAAATGGGGCAGTGATTTGGTACACCTAACAACCTAGAATTAGATGAGGGGTGTAAAGAAATCTTACCCATCATACAAACCCATCATACCAACCATATACTGAGCTGTGGTAGTAGGGTGTAGATGTATCAAAACCATCATCATGATCTGCAAGCCAGCTCTGGCCAATAGCCATCAGAGATAGGCGGCTGCAGTAGCAATGAGAACAACACACAATTAATAGAAAGCATTGACTTGCTCCACAACACTTCAATCATGAACGCCCCTGTGTGAACAGAGTTATAAAAAGCCTTGATATTAACCAGTTTGTGCACCAGACATGAACAGGTGTGCAAGTATATGGGTCACCTTTTTCACTAGACGGCCTTAGCCTTTAGCTTACCATCACCGCTCCGGCCGGAAACACACTGCTATGTCACACTGCCTAAACATTACAGAGATGCCATAAAGTGGCAACATTAATCAGAATGTGTGTTGGGCTAACGCACAGCCACACGCCACTTTTCCCCCCACATGTGCTGCACCGTCACACTCACACCAAATGTAACACACATACACACGGGGGTAAAAACAGGAATATACTATGAACACAGACATAATAGGGTTGACAAGTGGTCATACAAGCACACAAACACACACACACACAAATGGGAGTTTTATAACTTGACAGTTACACATTTCTCATATGCAATTTTTAAATATTGAGTGGTTGGCTACACCTAAATATATGGTCATTGCATGGAAAAAAAAAACTAGAACAGATGGACTATGATAAACATACTTTGTTGCTTTAAAATAAAATATGAATTAATAGTTTTCAAGTGAAGAAAAGAATTAATGATTCATTGTAGTAACAGATGGTGTAGCTGTCTGGACATTGTTTTTAGTCTTTTAAGGAATTTCAAGAAGAACGAGAAGTCTTGGTTACTCACAGTGCATGTCTCTCTCGTGTTCATATTCAATGAACGCATAGCCTCTTGGTTTTCCAGTTTTCTTGTTGTACACAATATAGATCTAATAAAACCAGATAAATTCAGGGATGAGTCTGGCAGGATAACAAATGGATAGTAGCATACTATGGAAATGTGCATAAGTTTAGTACAACGTACCCGTTTGATAGGACCATAAACTTCAAACTCGCGCCGTAGTTTGGATTCTGTGGTGTCATAATTCTGCATAAACAGGAAAAAAGGGTAAGATGTGCATTTTCAAGACAATCCCTAAACCAGTGATGGGCAAACTTGGCCCTTTCAGGCCACTTTTCTGCAGAGATTTGATCCAACCCTGATAAAACTCACCTGCCTGTAGCCTTCTAGTAGTCTTGAAGACAATGATTAGCTGGTTCGGGTGTGTTTGATTAGGGTTGGAGCTAAACTCTGAAGGAAAGTGGCCTGGAAGGGCCAAGTGTGCCCACCCCTGCTCTAAACATTTTGATTCTTGTCAGTCGACAAAAATACTCACAATTCGAGCCACAAACAAGGTCTTAAACGCGTCTCCTTGAGCATTAGGATCGTTGTGTGGGTCCCCTGTCAGAATACAAGAAACATTTTTTAGGGTTTTATAATAGTGTGCTGTACTGGTTCGCTTAGTAATGGGTTCAGATACTTACATAGCTTCAGTTCTGCTTCCACGACAACTTGCCTCCTTTCCATCTTCTCCCTTCTCTGCAATTCAAATCACAATGGACCATATTACAAAAAAATAAAAAATAAATTTCCCATGAGATAATCTTCCATGGAACACATGAAAATTGCTCACAGTTAAGTGTACTAAAAAGATTATACTACTCACAGAATCACTTTAAGATAGCAAATTTATTTAAAAAATCTTTAAAATACTGTTCTGTCATCTTGAACTCATAAACCCACTGAATAAATGCCTGTCAACAAGCTTTACGCCATTCAGCATTAGAAAACATGAGTAAACTTTCCACAAAAACAATTCAGTCAAAACTTGCTCACCTTTCTCTCCAGCCTCTCCTCCCGCGTCTCTGCTCTTGTGGGTGGTGGAGCATCTCTGGGGTCCTAACCAACAGTGGGGAACAAAACATCATTATACAACAATACTATATAATACCGATCAAAATATCTGTTATAATTCGCATCATGCATGCAACACTCTTATGATCAAAGACTTGATCTGTAATCTTTACGGTCAGTCTTTCAAAAAAAAAAATCTATAAAATAATCTTTTACATAAAATATGGCAAAAAGTACCTCAAAATGCCGGATGAAAGGGGCAATCCCGCAGTACGGCTGGTTGTGATGTTTCTCATGGGGAAGCTTCTCCAGCTGAAGCAGGAACGGTATCGGGTCCCGCGGGGCAAACAATGCCAACAGGTTCGGGGGAAGAAACTGAGTCATTGTTCACCTAGGAACAAGAAACTGAAATTGATTAATTCATAACTCAGAAGAACCTTTAACATATACCCCCAATACCATACCTGTGCAGTTACGGTGGGTAAATTATTAATAAAAGGAGATTTAAAGGAGATCACAGCAGGGACATATTGATGTTGGTAACGTTAAACTTAACCTGAGAAGGGAACTTAGTGTTTTTCTCACATCTAACGATAAGCATTTCCAGTATCTGCATCAATAAAGTAACACCCCCTAACTTAAACGATTTTCGGGAAGTTAGCTAGCCGCGTAGCAGTGCCTGCTAACTTACCTCGGTTAGCTTTTTGCGAACAACACTATAATCGCACTACATTATTGATTAAATAATCAGCGTTTTCACTATTTTGCATATGATAGTAAACAAACCGAAACGCTGTACACAAGTAATGGAAGTGCACGTTCTGTAACACACGCGTAAACCAAAACTCAACACTGGTTAGGGTCAGCTCTAGTAGTTCACCGTTTCTACTGATCAGATCAGAGATCGCCAACATGTCCACAGGCGGCCTCCCACAGTCAATTACCTCAGCTTCTCATTTGGTTCCGACGAAACCTCCGAGTTTAGCGCAAAAACCCCTCTGCGTCAGTCTGTAGGAACTCTTCGTGCGTGAACTTCTAAAATCCCTTTAGTATTTTGTGTGTATTTCGGTCCACACAATACACAACGTGTATCTTCACCAAGCTGAACGAGCCGTTCCTTTCTTAAAATGGCGCGAGGCCGCAACCCACTCTGGTATTTTACGATGTTTGTACTCGTCTGGCGGAGCTTTACGTTAGGGGCGTGGTTACGTATTACAAAATAAAAGCTTTGACTACACTAGAAGTTGACCACCTTCAGATCCCTCTGAATTTTGTGTTTTTTGCGGAATAGATTTTGGGACTGTTTGTTTTGCATCTTTTTTTTCGAATGTATGTATATGTATGTTAAATTATTTTGGATTGATGTTGAATGTTTATTTACTATGATGAGTGGATCTAAAATTAATACAAGGAAAAGAGATGTTATATTTTATTTTGTGCTTTTTATTTGTTTTCCTTTCTTTCGTAAAATGTGAATGTCCTGTTTTGTAATATTTAGTTATGTTATTAATGTTAATTGTTCAGCATATACAATAAAAAAAAGTTGACCACCTTCAAACACTCAAACCTTGCGTCATATTTTGGAGGTGTATTTTTTGTTAATTAACTCCCTTGTGTAATATTCTTATGCCTTCTTTCTTTCTTCCTTACATGCTCATATACACATAATATAAACCAGTACATCGTAATGTAAAAATGTATTTATTACATATTTTTAGATTTTACACATGTAGATACACATTAAGAATGTCTGAAACCCCAACACAAATGTAGAAGCATAAAAATGTATACAATGTTATTGTTGGCAAGGACTTAAAGGTTGTTCTGTTTTAACGTATCAGCAAAACGAGCTGCCATTCATCTTGTGTCATGCCTGCCTCCAAAATTTGTCTGAAAATGATTAAGTACAGATTTGTAATAAAAGTAAAATATGAAATATTATCAACAATACACCCTTTGCACTTACATTGATCCTCCAATTCCTCCCAAACACAAGAGGTACTATAACCTCAGTTCCTCATGTTTTCATAGTTAAAGATGGCGGAGTCTGAAGAGCCGAAAACAACCTGCAAGTTTCTTTTTAAGAAATCAAACAAGAAATTTTCAGCACGGAAAAGAAATGCCAGTGATAGCGATAAAGGTATTTTGCTCTTATTTTTCCTCAGTGCTCGGTAATGCATGTTTGGACTGGGCGGTTTTGTGTAGTCCGTACAGTGAACCTTAATATTCACATTTCTGCAGCTCACAGTGTATTAAATCAATATATGTGTGTGTTCATCAGACAGAAGTAGCGGCGAGGAGGGCAGTGCTGTGGTCAAAAAGAAGAAAGCTGCTGTTACGAATCCCATGATTCAGAAAGTATGTCGGTATTTTATGTTTAGAATCAAAATCTGTATTATTTGTCTTTTACGAAGCTGTTGTTGACTCTGAAGCCATAACCACCAGTTTGAATTACTGAAATAAATGAACTTTTCCACGACATTCTAATTTATTGAGATGCACCTGTATACTGCACACATAGACACAGAAAGTGGAGAGGGAAGAAGTCTCATCGAGCGAAAGCGAAGAGGAGAAAGAAGACAAGAATGTCACTGTCTCTTACAAGTCGACTCGTTCAGCGGTGAGTCTGCCACAACATCTTTACCTTTATGATTCTTCATATGATTTATACTGTAACAAACCTTACACGAAGAATGTAAATTATTCTTAATTCATTTCACATTTCTGCTGACCAGAGCTACTGAAACGGTTGACTCTTGTAATTCCATGTGTTTCTGTGTTTGCTGCAGAAACCAGAGGGACCAGATGACATGGGGGCCACTGCTCTTTATCAGCTGGACACAGAGAGGGACAAAGATGCTCAGGCCATTTTTGAGCGCAGCCAGAAGATTCAGGAGGTACAGTTAACAGCACTAACAGGCACCGATATTGTAAACTCAAGTTTATTTGTATGTTCAGTTAGAAATATACCTACGGAAGATAATCTAGTAGGTTTATTGAGGCCAGTTTACTTCAGTTATTTAGTGACCTCATTTGATTTCAAGCACAGCAGAATTGATACATTTTACTGAATAGTAATCATCTAAATATTTAATTGAATAAATAAATGTATTAGAAAAAAGAGCCTCTGTGACTTATAAAAACATGTGGAAACAATCTTGTAGTAATTCAACAGATATTATGATAAACCTGCTCTTAAAGAGAGAGTTTACCCAAAAATGATACATTTTGCCATCATTTACTCACCCATTTGTCTTTTCAAAAAGAAGATATTAAGCAGGAGACAAAAATGTTTAATAAAAGTATTATAAATAAACACAACTTTGCGGTATTCAGAGTCCTTAAAAACCATGCGGAACAAAAGTCATAATTATTCACAGAAAATTATCCTAAAACCTCAACTCTAGCATCTCGTTTGTGTGATTTAAATATGCACATATTCAAACTTGGTGCATACAATGGCCAACTGTTTCTTTAAAGTTGCAATGAAACAGAAGTAGAGACAGGTAATTTCTTCTGCATTGTACATCTGAGTGAAAGAGATTATCAAAAAAGAAATAAAATGTAGGACAGGACTTGGTTCAGTCCATTAGTTGTTGATTGGATGGAAGCAGATCTGAACGTGAGCTTGCAGTTAATTATAAGAGAAAGGGGCGCAGTTTAAGTGACCTAATGATTGAAAAAGTCAGTTGTTCATTCGGAAGATAGTTATTACATTTTAATTAAAAATTATGATAAAAAATGAAACCTAAATAGATGATCTGTTTACAGTACGATCATTAAGATGCTCTTAGAAGAAAAAAGATGGATGAATTTCCATTTCATGCTGACTTTTAAGATATAGAATTACTGATGTTGTTAGGGTGGCCACAATAATCACAGTCTCTTAATTCAGTGACATGCCTGTATTTTATTTCTAGGAGCTCTCTGGTAAAGATGATGATAAAATTTATCGCGGCATCAACAACTACCACAAATACATTAAACCCAAAGACTCCACCATGGGCAACGCTTCCTCTGGTATGGTCAGGTGAGTCAGTATAAATGAGTTTTTGAGGACACACAATGTTAAACTGATTCATAATGTCTTGTACGTGATAGGAAAGGACCAATCAGAGCGCCTGAGCACCTGAGGGCCACAGTACGGTGGGATTACCAGCCTGACATTTGTAAAGACTATAAAGAGACTGGCTTCTGTGGGTTTGGGGGTGAGTAAGCAACAGATTTCCTCTCTAGTTTTGTCAGTCCTTTGAGGTTAATGTGAACAGCCATGGCAATATTCATTGCAGAAATAAACATGTCTTTTTTTTAATCCTCAGACAGCTGTAAATTTCTCCACGACCGCTCAGACTATAAGCACGGCTGGCAGATTGAGCGAGAGCTGGAAGAAGGACGATATGGGGCAAACGGTGAGCCATCTTTAGGTACAGGTCTTTAGGTAAACTTGGCTTCTTTTGTTCTGTTTTCTGACATATTGTTTATCTCACAGATGAGGAGAACTATGAAGTGAGCAGCGATGAGGAAGATCTTCCTTTCAAGTGTTTCATTTGTAGAGATTCGTTTAAAAACCCCATTATTACAAAGTAAGTGCTACATTAAGCCATGTCCAGTTTGAATTGCAAATGCTATTCCCTACTCTTACCACAGCACAAATCCACATTATTTTGCTTTAGTGTCTCATATCTAAATCATTTGGCATTGTGTTTGCATGTCATAGCCACATATTTGTCTGTAGAACTAGTATGTCATTGTCTATTATTCATAAGTATAATGTCTTTGTTTTCCAGGTGCCGGCACTACTTCTGCGAGGCCTGTGCTCTCCAGCACTACCGCAAATCTAAGCGCTGCTACGTTTGCAACCAGCAGACCAATGGCGTCTTCAACCCTGCCAAAGGTGCTTATCTACTTACAGTATAATCCTTGAATTGAACAAAGGTTTGGGGTCAGTCAGATTTTTGTTTTTGAAAGAAATGAATACTTTTATTCAGCAATGAGGTTACATAATATTTCTAAACAATCCTGAAAACAAACATTTTTTTCAAAAACATCAATAAAAAAAATCTTACTGACCCCAAACTTTTGAAAGGTTGTGTAGTTTAAGGTGAAAATTTATTTTGCATTAATCCCAAATAACTGGAATAGGTGTGGGCAGTTGTTCAAAAGTTGTGGAAAATTGGTAGATCCCTGATGTTTCACTCACCAATATCCTATATTATTTCAAATGAAGACTAAGAAACTAATTTGTGTATTTTTTCCTCAGAGCTCATGGCTAAGATGCAGAAACAACAGGCAGCTGATGACCAGCCTCCCTCAGATGAGGATGACTAGCGCCACACAACTTCCCCTTCTGTGTTTTACTTTTGTTAGTCAGATTCCCTCGGAGTTGGAACATTTTCAAAACCTTTGAAATAAACATACTTTTGTAGAACGCTTTTTCGTTACCTTTTTTAGTAATCGTTCTATGAGAACAGGAAAGCCCACACAACAACTATAACAATAATGACACAAAAGAACAATATCATTGTAATTTAAGCTGATGAAGGCTAAAAATATTGACAGCCAATCAGAATCCACCCGGCATTAACCTTGGTGATTGCTGTTAGCAAACTTAAAGTTGATCTTTAAAAACATTATTTTTAACATTGTTAAATATAATCTTAGCCAGATCTCAAAAATATTTTTATAATGTATATTGTAACTAAATGCCTAGAATTTAAAATTTATTTATTTTTACTTTTTTTGTTTTTACTTATTGGCAAATAAGTATACTCCAAAGTAATTTAGAGCTGCAGTAATGAACCAAATTTCCCTCGGGATTAATAAAGTATTTCTGATAGAATTTGAATATCTGCTATTTATTAGTTGTTGGCCATAACATGAATATATTTATCAGCTTAAATCTAAAATGTATCAGTGCATTCCCTATTATAAACTGAATATTATATAGAGAAACCATTACTGCTGAAGCTGTTTTTCAAAATGGGTTGTGATGTAACAAACAGCATTGGAAAAACAACAAACAAGGGCTGACATTTGTGCAGTTGCAACATTTATTCCATTTGACCAAGAGGTAAGTATGCTGAAAATACACAAACGGTCCACTGAAGTACTTCCTCCAATAATGCATGCCAAGAACTGAAATGAATCTCAGCAGAAATGCAACTAATATAAAACTAATAACTACACCAGATAGCAGGAAAAAACTCAGCTTAAATCTAAAATGTATCAGTGCATTCCCTATTATAAACTGAATATTATATAGAGAAACCATTACTGCTGAAGCTGTTTTTCAAAATGGGTTGTGATGTAACAAACAGCATTGGAAAAACAACAAACAAGGGCTGACATTTGTGCAGTTGCAACATTTATTCCATTTGACCAAGAGGTAAGTATGCTGAAAATACACAAACGGTCCACTGAAGTACTTCCTCCCGGTAATGCATGCCAAGAACTGAAATGAATCTCAGCAGAAATGCAACTAATATAAAACTAATAACTACACCAGATAGCAGGCAAAAACTAAATCTTGTCCTCTAGCATATTTCTGGTGGCAGCAACATTTGTGCTGGGAGAAGAAACTTGATAGTTTGAATCCCCACAGTCCATCCATAAATTGAACAGTTCTATGTTTAGGTTGACTTTACTGACAGCTCTTTATGCTTCATTGGACAAATATGCTAGGAGACATGGGAATTCAATTGTGAACCTGTTTTGCTGTAAGCTGGTAGACATTCATATAGTGTCATTAGTTCAGGTGAAACACACAGAACAGGCTTCAGTAGCCTGAAGTGATCACCATTGTCACATGGCCAGTCAGTAAGTGTTTGCGCAGTGCATGCCTCAGGCTTCACTTCATGCTTCTGAATGCATTAGCAAGGCTATGGCGGCTGCTGGTTTTTCATTTCTCTTTTTATAGTCGGTCCTTGTAGTTTCAGTGATATACACAAATCACAAAAGGCAACATCCCAGAGTCTCTTGTAACATCTTTGAAGCTCTTTGTAATGTCTATATCACATTCACATAGCACCAGCCTTCCCCTTTTCTCACTTAAAACACAACAAAAACAATCATTTCTCATTAAGAGTCCTACAGTATTCTCCTCCCTTTCGGTCCAATCCATTGTCCCTTCATTTCTCATCCGTTTAATGTCAAAAGTCCCAGTCATCCACATCCAGCTTGCTGAGATCAGACTCCAGACTGGCCAATCCAGTGGGAGAATCCTGAGGCTGCATGCAGTCGAGGCTGCTGATTGGAGAAACTGGACGCAGGAGCTCAGGAAGAGCCTCGGATGGTCTGCGCTTTATCTACAATGATATAATGTTATATAGACCACAACAATACACTAGTTGCAGTAGTCAACACTAGTGAAGTCGCATTTATTTATATAGCACTTTATGAAATACAGATTGTTTTAAATCGGCTTCGCATCAATAAACAGGAAAATAAGTGTTCATGTCGTAAAATCTATAATTTTTGAAACATTCAATTTCAACAGCTCTACGGAAGACAATAGTGTCTTAACTTAGTTCAATGTTGTTTCAATTCAGTTCAATCCACCTTATTTTTCCCGTAAGAGCAGATGCATCATTTGTAAATTTTATGGGTCTGGCTTGCGGCCTCATCTGCTTCCAGCTATTTTTAGCTGTACAAAACAACTTGTTTTACTGCTTGATATAGCAAAAGGTGTGTCTTACCATATTATTTGAAGGTATTATCTTAATTATGAACACAGTGGTTTGTAGTGCAAACAGTTTTACAGTTGACTGCACGTTGTTATTCTTCTCGTTATTCTTTGTTATTCTCCTCGCTATTTCTCTACAGTGGCTAATGAACCGGAAGTCTCGCACATTCACAGAAAACGGCTTACTTCTGCGTTGAAAAATAAGGTGGATAACTTTGCAAATTTCATAAAATACATCTTTATTCATCACACCCCATTAAACATTCATATAAGTGAACTTTACCTTGTTGTCATTACCTGGATGATCAACAAATGTTGTTCAGAACAAACAAGGAACCCATGAAACCCGTCAAAGATTAGAATTGTTTGTGTTGTTAGCTTAAGCAAATTATGTTTGTCTATACTGATTTAGATGAAGACCAGGTGGCATTTTATGACATTTTTTTTCTTGGCACTGATCACTTGTCAGATATTTCCTCTGGTAAGACTCACCTGTTTGAAGAAGGAATGGCCTATCAGAGAGCTGGCAGAGGGTCTGTGGGAAGACATGACAACATACATTTAGTCTATTTATTATTACACCACAAAAGTATACATTAATTTTGTTAAACTTTTTATGCTACAGTTATTTTTAGTTTGGAGCACTTTCATTATAAAGTAATGAGTGGTCAGTCCATTCCTAAAATTTCTCTTTTTGTGTTCCACAAAACAATGACAATCATTTGGAATGATGTGATGGTGAGTAAGTGACAGAATTTTCAATTATTTCTTTCTAAATAAATATAAATCGCAAAGAGTAGAGTGTTATTTACCTTTTCTCGGGATCTCTCTGTAGACAAAGTTCCACAAAGGCATGAAAGTGAGAACTGAATGTTCTGCTGTACGGGTTTCCTCGGGAGGAGGATGAGGGCTCTCCGTTAGTGTGGCGAGCTCCACCGGCGCTGGGGCCCTCGCAGATCCCAGAGTCGGCCCCGGAGCGAGACGGTTTCATGCTCAGTTCTTCAGGGGGGATGGTGGTGGTGTCCAGCAGGCAGGGGACTGTGCCGTTCAACTTCTCTAACAACATCTGATACAGGCAAAGAGACCGTTTATCAAGGTAAATGTAAGATAAAAAGAAGGAAAAGCAAAAAGTGACTGATAAAAAAACAGGCGTTTGCCTTACCTGTGTAGCAGGCATGTCTGTAAAGGGCACGTGTCCATTAGCTAGCTCACATGCAGTGATGCCCAAACTGTAAATGTCTGAGCGGAAGTCATATCCCTGAAGATTCTATAGTATACATATATATATAATGTAATTTCCAGTGTGTTATATAAACAGTATACAGTACTGTTTAAAAGTCTGAAGGATTTAAGAAGTCTCTTATGTTCATAAAGGTTGCACTTACTTTATCAAAAATATTATGAAATATTATTACAATTTTCTATTTGAATATATTTTAAAATGTAATTTATTCCTCTGTTGGCAAAGCTGAATTTTCAGCATCATTACTCCAGTCTTCAGTGTCACATGATCTTTCAGAAACCATTCAAATATGCTGATGTGGTGCTCAAGAAACACTTTCTTATTTTTAACATTTCTATTTTTATTAAAAAATCTTACTGACCCAAACTTGAGATGGGAGGTATATATTAAATGTACCTGCTGCAGAACCTCTGGACTGAGCCAAGGTAGTACTTTAACACTGTACTGGGGAAAATCATGTACAACTCGTGCTCTCTGACCGTGACGGATCAAGCTGAAGATACTCCTGAGACCGGACAGATACACCTGTCCATCTGCTGAAATCAGGATGTGGCTTGCCTTCACACTACTATAGACACATATTGAGATGATAAAAAAAAAATACTTCAATATTCTTGTAGCATCTACATTAAAGACATCAGGCTGACAGTCTGGTGTGGTTGTTGATTTACTAACCTGTTTGACTAATAATAATAATAGTAAGAAGAACTAATCATAATATGTGTTCCTCACCGGTGAACGTAGCCCATCTGATGTATGTACTCCAGCGCTCTCAGCACACCCAGCAGGATGTAGGCTATTGTCTGCTCACTCAAACCATCAGTGAAATGTGTACTGATCAAGTCTCGTGCAGATCCTGATGAAGCAGAGAAACACATATGAACAGTAAGCAAAACACAGCTGTTTAGACTTGATTGATGCAGAACGTCTCCGCTAACCGTAGGCCACGAAGGGTGTGATCACCCACAGCTCATTCTCAGCGATGAAGACGCTCTTGTGTGGGAGGATACAGGGGTGGTGGAACAGCTTAGACACATGGAGCTCTCCCTTTAGAAAAACAGAGAAAGTGGTTGCAATGCATATGTAACAATATGCAGGACTAATTAACTAGTTAAGTATTTGTTCTGCACCAACTAGTCAACTAATAAATACACTAAATTTCTCAAAACACAAATTGAAATGCACTTTCACACTGAATCAGTGTTATTATTGGCAACTAAATCTCTAACTATTTAAAATGGTTTTTGTTAATTGAAATACAAATAAAACACAACAAAATATAAATATTAGTTAAAAAAAAAGAAAAGAAAAACTAGAATGAAAATTAGAAATGTTGCCTTGGAATTAAAGGGGTCATATGATGTTGCTAAAAAGAACATTATTTTGTGTAATGAAATGTGTTTATGCGGTTTAAGGTTAAAAAACACATTATTTTCCATACTGTACATTATTGTTGCTCCTCTATGCCCCGCCTTTCTGAAACGCGTCGATTTTTACAAAGCTCATCGGTCTGAAAAGCGAGGTATGCTCTGATTGGCCAGCTATCCAGTGCATTGTGATTGGCTGAATACCTCAAGCGTGTGACGGAAATGTTACGCCCCTTACCATATTGTGATGCCATGTCCCGGCCGGAGCGACGAGACAAAAACATTAAAACCCATTATAAACAAGGCATTTGTTGCATCCAGTGGGGACATAATTACAGATTATAATGACTTATACTGTCTTTTTACGCGTTGCATCACGCCGCGTAAACATAAAACCATGTCTGCATTTGTGATCGAAGAAATGACAAACAACAAGCGCTACTCTACACTGCTCAAAACTCGCGTTTGAATCATCAGTGGCAAAATGAAAACGTACTTACAGTCTGTGAGTCAGAACAGCCGGCATTGTAATGTAGTCTACTCTACCAGGATCAGGAAACTGATGTGAAAAAATGTGCTGCTCACATCTGAATATTTGGGTTGAACTGTTCTGGAACAGTGTTGTAAATACAACTTAACCACTGATTTCTAGTCGTGTCCTCTTTTGGAAGGCCAAACAAAGTAGTTTCGCTTTCACAACGAAACACACAGCGGGATAGAGTGAGCGGAGGCCGAAGGCCTAGAGTGAGCGGAGGCGGGCAGGCTTGAGAACGGCACGGCCGGCGGATTCGACGAAGGAGCATCCGGCGGGCTTGCGGCAACCACATGTGA